CCCCGTCGGGGCACGCCCAAAGTCTACCTTCCGACCTCGGAAGTTAGACTTTGATCCTTCTTCAAACCCTCAACCACCCACTCCCCATCGATCCTATGCAACATGGCTCAAACTGAGCCACGTGTTGCATCTCAAGCCTCCACTCGCGCTTCCACCCCAGCTACCTCGAGTCGTCCAGATACCACCGATGCCGACGATGGCGACACCTCATCAGTGGCCACACAAACCGTCAAACGCAAGCGTTCGAGCTACGTTTGGACTCACTTTGTCAAGATCCCAGGTGCTAAAAGAGGAGACGGCTTTAATTGTTGTGAAGTTATCGATCCGAAGACTGGCAAAAGCTGTGGCCTGAAATTGAAAGAAGACTCGACCGGAAGTACCAAGTCGATGAGTAATCACTTGAAGTCTCAACATAAACTATTCGAGGATGGTCCAGCACCAAAGAAGCAACTGAGTGTTATTGGACACTTCAAGCAAAGCACTATAGGTGAACAGGTGAGGTTTTTCATTCGATATCATCACTTCATCTTCACATTATTCAAACTCGTTTCTCTCTTTCTTTACTTTGTACTTACAGGAAACCCTCAACGTGGAGACTCTCAAGACCTTGATCGCCTATTTCCTCGCCGACTGTGATCTTCCATATGCAATTGTCAACCGAAAGTCATTCAAGGACCTCCTTCTACTCATAAACCCTCAAACTAGGGGAATGCTTGTGCAACGACACGCGATAGCTCAGCACTGTACTAAAGTATATACACACTATGAGAAATTCATCAAGTCTACGTTTTTCGATCAAGCGGACTACGTAGCGTTCACTCAAGACGCATGGACTTCACCTAATCATCACGGATTCTTAGGAATTACGAGCCACTTCATCACCAAAGAATGGAAGCTTATGGACGTAGTAATTGGGATGCCTAATATTGAAGGCGAGTAATTTATTTTATTTTCTATTTCTTTCATTGTGTGTATTTGATTCTGACTTTTGGTGTTTTTAGGTGCCCATGATGCCGATAACTTTGCAGATATACTTTCCAAGTATATCTGCAAGTTCGATTTGGGCATGAAGATCTCCGGTATGACAGCCGATAATGCCAGCGTCAATACGAAGATTGGTCGATTACTTTCTCAAAATCCCGACCTCAATTTCGCTGAGAATCAACTCATGGGATGCTGTGCACATGTGATCAATTTAGTTGCCAAGCAAGGCCTCAAACTATTTGGAGACGACTCTTTTGAAGACTCAGAACCTCTCCCTCCATCCTTGATGAAGATTGTCGACTCTCCTGACAATTCAACTGTCGATTTGAAGACCATCTATGCTCGTATACACGGTCTGGCTATGTATACTCGAAAAACTCCTCAACATAGTCAAAACTTTGCTAATGTGATAGCTCTTGTTCGTGATATTCAAAAAGATCCTGAAGCTGAAGCCAAGAAAGATAAAAATCAAAATAAAGATAAAGATAAAGATAGATATGGTCAACAAAACACTGACGATATTGACGATGAGGAAGACCTTGAGGTGCAACTGGACGACGACACTGTCAGCTTCTTCCAACATCGCACACCCTCCAACTCAGATGAGGAAGACCCCAACATATCTCAAACTGCGAAATCAAAAGATCGTGCCACCAGGTTGATGATCGACGTTCCAACCCGTTGGAACTCATCATACTACATGCTTAAGCGAGCCCTTCGACTGAAAGATGCCTGTGTACAGTATTGTGAACGCCAAGCCCCGAAGTTTGCACTTTCAAAATTGGAATGGAAGTACGTTCAGCAAATGTGTGATTTTCTCGAACCCCTCAGTGAAGCTACCAATCTGTTGTGCCAAAGGCAATATCCTACAATGCATGAAGTCATACCTGTTTACACGGTTATTATGGAGAATTTGTTGGAGGTAAGTACTTTCTTTACCACCTCCATCTAATACTCGATTCTGATAATCAATCTATATTTCTTACTTCAGGTCAAGGAGAAGTATGACCACGATCAGCTTTTACCAGCTGCAAAGGACATGTTTGAGAAGCTGGAGGAATACTTTAAATTAGTACTGACAAAACCAGCACCCATTTGTGCCATGATATTGAATCCTTGCCTCAAGATGAAATTCTTTGAGGTAAGTAATTCTTCAAATCATGAATTTTTTGCTTATACTAATTGAAGATTATTTGCATACCTCATACCTAGGAACATTCCGATTTGTTTTTAAGATATGACATGACTCCTAACGACTTCAAACAACACTTTATCGATATGGCATCAACTTTCACCTGTGCTCCTCCACCCTCTGAGATCAAACCAAAGAAGCCAAAAAATCGGTTTGCCGAAGCAATCTACGGAAGCGACGAACCGACCTCATACGCCACCATTGAAAGCGAGATTAATCGCTATTTGGGTGATTGTGACCGTCATCGGGGGGATATCGTAACTTTTTGGAAAGGGAAGGAGGACGCACTACCAGGACTTGCTAAGATGGCAAGGATGTACCTTTCAATTCCAGCTACAAGCACATCATCCGAGGGAGCGTTTAGCAAGACAAAGCGTATCATCGGACCTCAACGATCATCTCTTACTCCGACTAGTGTGGAAATCCTTCTGTGTCTCAAGGAGTGGTTTCGCCTCTTTGGGGCTATGTTTTTCCCAAATAACATTGGTAGAACATCTGTTTCAGGAACTCAAATTGTTATTGATGATGATAGCGATTAATTGTTTTTATCATATACTTTTCTTTTTTTGAAGGTTTTTTTACTTTAATTTTCTTTCAACATATTACTGTCTGTTTTTTTCTACTTGTTTTGTCTTTGCTTTTTTCTACTACCTTGTCACCGGTCTCAGATTTGAAATCTATCTCTTTGCTGAAATTGCTAAAAACCCGCGGGTTATCCGCGGTTCGAGACGCCTAAACCAACCCCACCCCGCGCCCGAAACCGACGGGGCCCCGATGTATCTGGGTCCAAAAAAAGGCTAACCGGACCCTAACCCCGACGGTTCGGGGCTCGGGTAACCCTCGGGGTGTCGGTTCCGGGGCTCAGGTTGATTCTTGTCAACAATCTTTCATGACATCTGTGTCCATGTGGACTCTTTGATGGTATTTGAAGCTCAAGTTTATCAACATATGTTGTAGTATGCACTGAATAGAGATGATCATTTTTTGATGAGTTGGGCTTCAACAGCCCGGGTATGTTGCAAATGAATGAATGAAGTTGACAAGATGAATAATGACTACCAGTGGCCAGCATAATGCGGGGCCAGACGGAACAAAGAGCAACCACAAAAACATTTTGAAAGCCAAGATATTCAAGATTATATAGCGTAAAATAGCGCAATAGATCGGTGTAGACACCTCATGATTATAACAAACTCAACAGGACAAAAAATAATGGAATCGTCCTCCAGAACCCGCAGCTTGTCTTGCGTGCCGCATCGGCGCCAGAAGTGTTGACAAATACTGATGGCGCATGGTTGGTGAGATTCGTGGTTGTCGATTTGATTCCTGAGGTAGTATTCAGCACTGAGGTAGTATTCAGCACTGAGGTGGTATACAGAACTGAGGTGGTATTCGGCAAGCCTGAAGGCGTAGTAAGATTGACATATTGGCTAGCATTGTTGACAATATTATGCTGAAGCCCATGTAAAGTCTCGCTAGCATTCAATACACCAGGGATATGGATCGGGTGGTCGGAAGCACCAAGCGCGTTCTAAAGTGGTGGTATCAGCAGCAAATTCTTGAAATCTCTCAGCCAACTGACTAACCTGATACCAAGCCTGATTGAATAACGAAGGGATGGGTCGCTTGATGACGCGTGAAAAGATCAGCCAACGGTAATTGCCCGAATAAACTCAAACAATCGTCAAAAAACTTACAGTATCCCATCCTGCTGCCTTGATAGCGGGCCACGCATCAGCAAAGCCGCGCACTGAATGAAGCGTGATCTCGTGTTCTAATATCACTAGACCAGGGGACTTTGGGAGTTTAGCGTAATCCTTCAGCTGAGCGGTTAACGCTGCTTGGTTTGCTGGTCCGTGGTTTGTGCAGATGTTCACATCTTCAGGTGATACACACCAGTCCTCCGTATCATGATTCCAGATCACAGTTTGAAGCCCGAATACGTGCTGCAAATAAATAGAGTCAACCTTTGTGGAGCAATGAAGTTATGCAAGCTCAAATTGCACCTTTGCAATTGCTCTGACTCGGTTATCAGCGTCGCCTGTTGCGCAGCCAAGCAAAAAAAACTCCGGGTAAGTACAAAGGCATCGTATTACATGAAGGTGATGTATGCGTACCATACGGAGGTCTCCAGTATGCAGGCAATCGACCATCAGCTAGATCCTATGAATCAATATTTGTGAAAGCTGAATGAGTCGAGTACTTGACATGTCCGAAGTGTCAGAAATATGAAGGACTAACGAAGATCACTTGCAAAGTCCAACCAATCTCACCCAGAACTTGGAGATCAGTTAAAGTGGTCATCAGGGGATCTAAGAATTCGACCTCGAGGAATTAGCCTCCCAGAAAAGGTGCGGATGAAAAGAAACATAACTACTGACGACTCCATGTATGAACAGCTATATGATCTCCTTTTGCGACCGTGGCTTTGAACGCATCAGTGTTACTTAGGATTCTACTGCCTATTTTCCGTTCGTCCAAGCAAGGAGATGACGATCTTTAGTTTCACAGTATTTCAAAGTAAGCTAATGCAATACTCGACTCACCAATCATGAAATGGGTTGCGGTCTGGTTCACAGACTCAAGGAACTGCAGAAGTTCAGCGGTTCCTCCCTGTGGCCCATCGTCACTAATACACAATTCCGCATCAGCCTATGACCTTTGCCTCCGCCATTTGCTAAGCCCTTGTCTGATATGAAATGGGTGACTAACAAACTGATACCCATCATCCCGTCCGGAGCATCATTGACACTGGTTCCATGCCAAAGAGAAAAACGATTCTTAATATTCATGCTATCCAGGTTGAACAAGCGAACAGCCTCAACTCAGTAGGACTTATACATCCCACTGTCCAACTACAGACACTTGGGTCCAAGGGGTTCACGTTCGCTGGATATTTGGTATCTCCAGAAGGTAATTTGACTGAAGGTTGAATGTTAGGAATCCGACCGGCCGCCTTTTCTCGCTGGTAGGCATCTACCCACTCCTGCTTCGGGGTGGGTCCGGGGATATCCAAGGCTGGGTAATTGGAACTTTGACGTTTGAAGAGAGGGACATGAGAAGCATTAGAGACATTTGCAAGCAGTGAGAGCACGGCGGAGACGACGATTAGGAGCTGCATTATTGGGAAGTGAGAGAAGAGAAGGAGAATAAGAAAACTTTGTGGGTAACAGAAAGCCAATGTCCAAAGCTCCTTATATATGTATATAGAAGACAGCCTGATCTGGGTCCACCTGCGAAAGAAACACCTCGGCTTTCCTTTATTAGAGCATCTCCAATGCTCCCCAATACGAATGACTAAAGGTTACGTTTGAAGTTATTCGGAAAAACATCATCCAACGCCGAGGTCGAGTTCCCACGTGGAACCTCCCATGTGATCTCGGTTTTTGGGAAATGACACTCTCCCATGCTCGGGTCAGCAAATTTGCTGACCTGGCCGAATAATCTGAATCCCAGTATCCCAACGACTATTGGGCTGGTCTTTTAACTCTAGGGCAATAGATGTGATCGATTGCGCTCACCTCACGTAAAGAAACAGAAAGGCCCTAGACTTAAAAGACCAACACTTTCTCAATCAGAGAGCGCAGGATTTGAATTTGGTGACAGATTTTGTATTTTCTTTTTTTCAGTGGCAATCCAACATATCAAATCAGGATCCACCGCGATCAATGCAGCAAGTGTTGGTCAAGCCGTCACCCGGCGACTATCCGGCGACATCTACCCATTCCGTGCACCGAACCGACGGATATTTTCAAGATCCGGGCCCGACGGATAATAACCGTCCGGTTTTTTTTTTCAAAAAGCTAGATTCGATAACCGAGCCGGATATCCGGCGCTTTGGTCAAAAAGTCTCCGTCGGTGGGAATTGAACCCAAAACCGGGGCTACCCGGGTGATTCTTCGGCCGGCCCGGGTCCAAATTGGGCTTATATCCTTTTTCAAACTTCCTATTCCACGAATCCACTCATCAGACCTTATTAATATTTTTAGTTTTTTTTTGTATTTGAACTACAAGGTTGAGTCATTCCCAGAATCTCATTTCTCGAATATACCACCGCTCAATCATCTCAACTATCAATAAACAAACTTCAACGTCTTGCATGCATCATATTGATTGATTGCAATCCACCCCATACCGCCTAAACACCATTATTCTATTCAACTCTAATGGATATGTCTTCAGCCCCAGGGACCATTACAGACACAGCCTCACAAGCCGAGCAATCCGATCTCGGAGACACTTCGACTACTACTTCTCGTCCAAATCCGAGCTGGGTTTGGAGATATTTCAAAAAGCTACCCGATAAAGATTTTAACAAGTGCTTATTTCAAATGGCGGACGGAAACGAATGCGGGAAGGAGCTGGCCCGTGATAAGAAGGGTAGTACTTCATCAATGAAGAACCACCTCGAAATCAAACACGGCATTCGTGATGGTATGTTACCTGAACAAGGTAACATTGTTGGCGCTTTCAAGAAGGCCAAAACCGGACATGTTGTGAGTTCTAACTCGTGTTTACTGTCTTAAACGATCATCTATATATATTTAAAATATTTTTCACTTTTGTAAGACTAAGCTCAACGTCAACAGCCTCAAGACAAGTGTTTGTTATTTCATCGCCGATTGCGATCTCCCCTTTTCAATAGTCGAAAAGCCTTCATTTCAAAGACTTTTGTCACTCTGTAGTCCTCATGTCACCGGGATGCTCGGCAAACGGACTGCGACAGCTAATCATATGCGCAGAATCTATTATCACTACAAGGAGTTCATCAAGAAGTCTTACTTTGGACCATGTAAAGCGATGGCAATCACTCAAGATGCCTGGACTTCGCCGAACAACGTCCCCTTCATGTCACTCACTGGTCACTTCATCAATGAAAACTGGGAACTGATGGATCTCAGTCTAGGTATTGCAGAAATTAAAGGTACGGACATTCTGTCGAAATCCTGCTATATCAAAGTGACTCATTAAATGTTCAACTTCCAGGTGCACACGATGCAACAAACTTTGCCAACATTATTCTCAACTATCTGAAAAAATACGGTCTCTCAAACAAGTTGAGTGCGATGACCGCGGACAACATCAGTACAAATGCCGCTATCGGACGGGTCATCGGTACGACTGAAGGCATCGACTTTGATCATACCACCCAGGTACATGGGTGTGTAGCTCATGTCATCAACCTCGCCGCTAAAGAAGGTTTAAAGGTGTTTGGGGAAGTCTTTGATGAACAAGAAGCTGCATCACACTCGAACATACACGATCTTATCGACCCACCTGATGTGAATCAAGTTAATCTCAAGACTATATATAATCGATGTCATGGTTTAGTGACGTGTACCCGGTCAAGCCCTCAACGTGCTCAAGCGTTTGCTAACATTGTCAAGATGCGACATGACTTCGCCGTGGCCATGGCATCTGCAGCTGCGCCTAACCCTCCCACCACCAACTCTACCGGTGCCGAACATCCTACCAAATCTGTGGGCAATGATGCTGAAAGGGAGGCAGTTGACTACATGTTACAAGATCCGAGTATTGACCACGTTCAGCCACCTCGATCAAAAAAAAGTTCTAACTTAGTCACTCGACTTGTTGTCGACGTTCCAACAAGATGGAACTCATCTTATCATATGTTTAGACGGCTTCTACGACTCAAAGAATCATGCGATGAGTTTTGCAAGGCTCGAGACTTCAAAAAATTCGTTCTCTTACCTATTGAATGGAATTATGTCAAACAGATGTGTGAATTTTTGGAACCGCTCAGTGAAGCCACTGAGATCCTTTGTAAATCAAAGTTCCCAACAATGCATCAAGTAGTCCCTATATATATAGTAGTTTTACAAGGACTCAAATCAGTAAGTCATTTGTTTTAAACTTGCATTCATAACACCGTTGGCTAATTTTCTCGCCTTTACACATAGGTTGCTGGAAGATACGACTTCGATCAATTAAAACCTGCATCCAAAAGTATGATTGCCAAACTCGAAGATTATTTCAAGAAAGTGCTCTCCAAACCCGCGCCGATCTGTGCCACCATATTGGATCCTCGTCTTAAGATGAACTATTTCCAAGTGAGTACCTTCCTACTCATTCTGCTTTCACTTTGTACTGATCAACATATCAATTGAAAAAGGAACGAGCAATGCTCTTTTCCGAGTATGACATCTACGTTTCAGACTTTAGGTCACTGTTTGAAGACCAGGCCAGGAAATTCGAATCTGATGCACCAAATCCCACATCGAGTTTTACCAAACGATCAACTCCTGCAACTTCTACCTCACAATATTTTGAAGATGCAATCTTCGGCACTCAAGATGATTCACAACATCAATCAATTGAAAATGAGGTTGCTCAATACCTCGGCGACAAGCTTGAAAGCCGTGACACTCATGTGTTAACCTTTTGGAAAGAACGCACAGCCATATATCCTGCTTTGGCCAAAATGGCAATCGAGTTTCTGGCTATCCCAGCTACTAGCTGTCCTTCAGAGGGCCAATTCAATAAAACTAAACGGATCTTGGGCCCTCAGCGTAGTAGCCTCTTGAGTCTGCATGTTGAGACTCTTTTATGCGTAAAAGATTGGCACCGACTTTTTGGCCCTTTGAAAATTCCTACCCTTATTGAGCTTGATGGTGACGAAAATAGTACTTGATTAAAGTTGTCACGCTTTTTTTTTCTTTATCTTTTCAAATATGATGTTTTGAAATAAATACACGAAATACACGAAATACACGCCTAATACACGCCTCCATTTTTGCCAGATATCCGCCGGATATCCGGCAAAAATCAGATTTTCTTGCCCCTCAATCCGACTACCGGACCGACCGGATTATCCGGCAACCGGATAGTCCCAAGGTCCCATCCGTCACCCGGCTCCGACGGTTGCTCCGACGGATATCCGTCGGATTGTCGGTTCCGGGTGACGGCTTGAAGTGTTGGTCGTTCAACGGCACGCCTCAGCAAAGTCCCACGCTGCGTCTCGCACGCTTCGAGCGCAGCGAGGGACTTACTGTCGTTCCCAAAAAGGTTGCCACCTGTTGCCACATCGCCAAAAACATTTTGTTGAGGTGGTCCGTGCGCGCTGTCAGAATCTGACAAGAGAAGACAGCAGAGAACCTCTCTCTCTCTTTCAAAGTCCTTAGCTTTGAAAGAGAGGGAGGGAACCCTCTTTTTGGCAAACTTGTCCCTCTGTTGGAGTATTTTGTCCTCCAGTAACGTATCAAAACCATCAAGGAGAAGATAACTCAATTCGCCAAAAGATTCTTAATAGACATGGACAAATCCGGTTTTATTAAACACAGTACAGAGTGTGAAGGCTGACCGAGCAGGAGGTTACTAGTAGAGTGTTAGAAAAAGTTTTACGCTTTGGGATTAATTAGGGGTACTCAGTGTAATTGTTGTTGTTTGGTGTTGTTTCTCAAAAATTTGTGACCTGCTTGTTTTTCTTATTAACCCCTCACCTTTCCCTTTTGAATCTTCTTCCCCCATTGAGGAAATTGATTCTAAAGGTGAGAGTTAAACACAGACTTCTTTCACTTATTTTTCTGTTATTGTGAACTCATCTGAACCATATTATTATGTTATACCCTTTTATGTATTTCTCCTTTATCTATTTCACTTATTAGTTCTCTTAACACTTTAAATCCTCCTCCGTTCCTTCTCTCAGGTTTGTCTCAAGTTTAGTACTCGCTGTCTTGTTTTGTTAGCCAGTGTCTAGTCAACACAGAGCTAAGAGTTGTCTTCAACCTTCATAAAGGTTAGTATTGTTTTGTGTGTGTTACATCCATCGAGGAAATTGATTCTAAAGTTCCCTTGACACTTTAAATCCTCCTCCGTTCCTTCTCTCAGGTTCGTCTCGAGTTTAGTACTCGCTGTCTTGTTTTGTTAGCCAGTGTCTAGTCAACACAGAGCTAAGAGTTGTCTTCAACCTTCATAAAGGTTTCTGTCATAGGTTCACAGTGTCGAGCGTGAAACCTTCATTTTCTTACACCTTCTCTGTCCTGCGAGACGCTCCCCCCAGAGAGGGACTTACTAAACTTAACAAAGTCCCACACTTGTGCATCCTCGCAAGGCGTCAAGCAAGGGACTTACGCCAAATGTGTACGCTCCAAAACCTCAGAGATTTGGCTTTTGCAGGGAGCTCACTTCGAGTGCTTATAACTTTTTCCACA